GAGGTATAGTGGGGGTCAGCAGGGACATTTCTATTTCCTTTCTTCCTTGTACTCCACAAGGGGGAACAGGAAGCAGCATTTCTTTGACACCCATCAATTCCTCTCCTCTGCTCCCTAAATACAAGAAGTCACAGGGCTCAAGAAAAAGATCCTAAAACTGTGACTCTCACAATAAATAGAGTATTATAATAGCAGGTCTGGAACATTTCAGTTCTTTAGGTAGCGATAGCCATCTTTGTGGTGCCCTCTATGAAATGAGCCAACCGTCTCAGTTGTGTTCCTAGCAGACAAGTGCCGGCATTGCAGTTTACCAGCTGTTATTTGATGCTTCCAGTTTTGTTATCTTCCAAGTGCTCAGTAGCTCTTTTCTCTTAACGTTTGTCCCATGAGTTAACTAGGACCTGATGGTAAGGCTTACTGGACGCTAACTGCTATGATTGCCTTTTTTATTTTTTTCCAAGATTGGTAACACATTTGCTTTTTCTTTAATTGAAGAGTTTTGTTCCCTCATTTTGGTGCAAGGATGGTTTTGTATTTTGTCCTTTCTGCCTATACACTGTGTGTTATCTGTGTTTGGGATGCAAGCCAGTTTAAAATGTATGGTTACACTTTTCTATTACATATTAAGCATACGGAAATTACAGTCAGATGTGTTCATTTTGTGGCTGACTTATTTTCTCCCCAAAGCACTGGACATACTACGTTCAGCACTTAATTATTCATGGACTATTAGCATTACAGTTTCCTGATTCAGATCAGGACCTCCTCCTCCTACTCGGCAGCTTGGGAGCCTATTTTTGTCTGAGTATGATTCTCTGTGACTTTTTGTTTAATTTTCAGCATCCGTGCTTTTTCTTTTATATTCGAGTTAGTGGTGCCTTCTGTTATTAAAAGCCTCAGGCTTGTGGTGTATGAATGTGTTATGATTTATTTCCTTTTACTGAAATGCTGTGAAATCTAATATGAAAACCCACTACATACAATTTAAAATATGTAAAGTTACATTAAAAGCAGGTGTTGCCAGCAGTAATATATTATTTTCACATTATATTTTGTATTAATGCAATGCTTTGCCATTTAATAATTATGATTGACTATTGGAACAGTTTAATTAAAAGCTACTTGCGAATGGTGTATTCAGTTTGGGCCTATTCCTGCAAAACTGAAGTCAATAGTAGCTTTGCCAATGATTTCCATGGATTCAGGATTAACCATCTGAAGAATGGGCTTCTTCCATGCCAGAATCCATCTTTCGTCTGAATTCAGTAATTAGAGCTAATTTTCAGACAATAGAAGCTGACTTCAGCAAAGGTAAAAATATGGGTGCATCTGTATTTGTACATGCAAATCAGTTATTATACATGCAAATAACTGTTTGCACATGCAATTACTTGATTTGTATGCAAAAATATGGGGTACACATTTTTCCATAGCCCATTTTTCCTTGCCGAGTCAACTTTCACTTTTGGAAAATGTAGACTTTAGTGAAGAAAAAGGAAACATACCAGAACAATATAGCTAACATATGACTCATTTTATAAACTACATGCTTAGTGCCCATGATTAATACAAGGTAAAACAGTGTCATTAAGACTCTTAAGAGAACTTTGGTCAAGGCCTGTCCAATATCATAACATAAAAACCAACATAAATATTGAATAACCTAAACTGAATAACTACTTAAGCAATAAAAGTTGTAATTGCTATGTATTATACTTCATGGGTTACAGTCAGAAGCCAAGTGTTGCATTCAAGTTACATGTACAATCATGCACCTAATTTGTTCATGCAGTTATTATGACTGCACATGCATATTAGGCATTTATGCAAATAAATGGCCAGCTAGATGTTATTGTGCAGGCAAGCCCCCAATTTGCATGCATAAATGCAGTACCTATATACGCAAATCATAAACACAACTCCCTGAAAAAAATTGTGTGTTGCACGCCTCCCAGCCCGAGGACACAGACTTGCACTAGCTCGACTCAAACGAGAGCGCTAAAAATAGCAGTGTGGACGTTGCTGCATGGGTGGAGGTTCAGGCTAGCCACCAGAACTGAGACCCAGGGAGTCAGGCGGGTTCGAGCTCAGGTGGCTAGACCAAGCCTCCGCCGGTGTCACAACATCCACACTGCAATTTTTAACACACTAGCCTGTGCTGAGCTAGTGCAAGTGTCTCTATCCAGGGTGTTAGGCATGCTCCCAATTGCAGTCTAGACATACCCCCAGTGGCTGAACGTGGTTCTGTCATTAAAATTACAAGACAGAACTTCTACGTCTGAGATTTTGAGCAGGCTTCTGTAATCCTGACAGCTGTAATTTTTGGTATGAAGGGCTAGAGAGGGATAGTGGAATTTTCAGTAAGACTTATAATCACAAAGCATGGAGCTGGCCAAACTCATAAATGACATGTATTTTTTGTAAAAGTTTGACAAAGACTGAAAAACAGAGGTACATACACTAAAGCTGTCTAAATTGTCATTATTATTTGTATTGCCCAGAAGTCCTGAGTAAGATCAGGGCCACTTCGTATTAGACACCATACAAAGATGGGAAAATATGGTCCCTGCCACACAGAGGTTACTTTCTAAATGTACTTCTAAAATGGCATACAAATGTGGCATACAGTTCTATCTACCTCCATTAAGATATTTATAGTGCACTAATAGTATCTACACAGTAATAGCAATTTATGTTATTAACTGAGCTTAATCATCAATCACATTATTTAATTCTTATTTTATTTTGGTTAAAAATTGATTATGAAAAGGGTCCCAACCCTTCCACATCCCTCAAAGTGACAAGTACTCCCACCCCAATCTTTCCAGTTGCCAAAATCCACCTTTAACAGTGCAGTCTGCTCTTTTAAGGCCATGGGGTCTGGGAGCCGCTGACTCTCTTCTGGAGAGAAGCCCAGCAGGCAGCATCTAGTGATTGGGTCTGATGAGTCTCAGCCAAGGGATGTAAAAAAGGGCCCCAGCTCTATGAGGTTGCCTGGGACCAGGAGAGGGACTGGGAGTGCACTCTCCAGTGGCTGTAGCAGAAGACTGTGAGAGGGCAGGTTAGCCTTGCAGACACCCCTGTGGAAGGTCACAGATCTCAGTGAAAACGGGACTGGTTTTTTTGTTTTGTTTTTGTTTTTAATTGCTCCACTTAAACTTCTTTGTGTTAAAGAATAAAAAAGAGCCCTGAGAAAAAGGCTACAAACTGAACTGGGTGTGGCTGTTTGTTTATCCCAGGCTGGTGAGCCAGTGCACAGCCACTGTAGGAAGCAGGGCCAGCTCCAGGCACCAGCCCACCAAGCTTGTGCTTGGGGCGGCACCTGGAGGGGGGCGGTGCGGTGCGGTGCTCGCCGCCCTCCCCCCGGCGCTCTGGCCGCCCTCCCCCCCGGCGCCCTCCCCCCGGCCGCCGGGGGGAGAGCAGCGAGACCCGGCTGGGGCTCGCTGCCCTCTCGCCGCCCCGCCCCCTGCGCTCTGGTCGCCGGGGGGAGAGCGGAGCCCCGGCCGGTGCTCGCCGCCCTGCCCCCGGCGCTCTGGCCGCCGGGGGGAGAGCCGAGCCCCGGCTGGGGCTCGCCACCCTCCTCCCAGGGCTCCGGCCACCCTCCCCCCCGCCGGCCCCCCGGCGGCCGGGGGGGGGAGAGCCGAGCCCCGGCCGGGGTTCGCCGCCCTCCTCCCAGGGCTCCGGCCGCCCTCCCCCTCCTGGGGCGGCAAAAAAGCCAGAGCCGGCCCTGGTAGGAAGCTCTCTAATTTTACCCCATAGTTATCAATCATATTGGTCCCAATTCTGCACTGCTCATCAGCACCTCTAAGTCAGGACCAGGACTCAAGTCGTGCCGGAATGCTTTGGAACTCCAGTCCGGCGTTTTTCGTTGGCATTCTGCTACTTCTGGTAGTGTCACTTATAGTACCAGAAATGTGTTCTGCCACTTCTTTTTTTTATGACTCAGTCACTGGTCAAGACTGTAGCATGTGATAAAGCTATGTATGTGCATAAGTGCTTTGCCTTCTTGAGACCTTACGCTATCTCCCTTTCCTAAGTGATAATATTGAGACAGATAATTTGGTCTTTATTTAAAAACAAAAAAAACAAACAGGTCACCTTTAGCTAGTTTCTACTACATTTAATGTTGGACTATCCATAATAGGAATTATTAAGGGCCCTATCAAGTCACACTAATGAAATTGCCATTATACCTGACATGCCAATATAATCCATTATCTCAATAATTTGACATGGATTTTGATGATATTTGTATAAGTAGAGCCCTACCTAATTCATGGTCCATTCTGGTCAATTTCACAGTCATAAGATTTTAAAAATCATAACTTTCATGATTTCAGCTATTTAAATCTGAAATTTCGTGGTGTTGTAATTTTAGGGGTCCTGACCCAAAAAGGAGTGTGGGGGAGGGTCCGCAAAGTTATTGTAGGGGGGGTTTGCAGTACTGCTACCTTACTTCTGTGCTGCTGCTCGTGGCAGAAGTAAGGTGGCAATACCACGACCCCCCTAAAATAACCTTGTGACCCGCCTGCAACTCCCATTTGGGTCAGGACCCCCAATTTGAGAAACGCTGGTCTCCTCTGTGAAATCTGGGTAAAAGCACACAAAAGACCAGATTTCACGAAGGGAGAGCAGATTTCACGGTCCGTGACACGTTTTTTTTATGGCTGTGAATTTGGTAGGGCCCTATGTATAAGTGGAATATTATTGTATAATGTATTAATTTGTATTCAACATCAGAGTACTTTCATGTAAATTATGAAATTATATTAGAAAATGCACTGGAATATTGGTTAGTGTGGCTTGGAATTATAGAGTATGTTAATTTTTCAAAACATACACTGATGCCAGCTTCTGAATTCTAGTTTTTGATTTAAGCTGTTCAGGAGCCTCATCAATCTTAAGAAACTTGCATTTGCCAAACACAGAAATTGGAAAATGTAAATAGTCTCTGAATCAAAGTCTAAGTCCAATATATTGTAAGTAATAAAGGAACATACCACAGTACCCTGGAGTTCCACAAACTGTCTTCATAGTCACTTGATCTTCCACAATCTTGGAAAGCCCAAAATCAGCTGTCAAGATTTGTAGAAACATAAAATAAAAGTGTTATTGTCTACTTGTAACTGTGTAAAGTGAGCATAGATTCAACAGGGGGAAGTACTTCACTTTTCTTTTTGAAAACGCTACATTTAAGGAAAATCACTGTCATTTTAAGGAACAAATTAAAAGAAAAATTACTTCGGAAGAATTGCATGGAAACAAAATTATACAGAAGCAAAATGTGTGTTGATGGATTAAATCCTCTTGCTCTAAGCTCACGAAAATATTTTTAAAGTACAACTTGTGCTAGCTGCGCTAAAGACAGTGGAACGTACAGCAGCCAATGAAGAGTCAGATGCAGAGTCAATCATGTACTCAGAACTTCTGAACAGCGCATGGAATACAAAATACTATGAATACAAAAGAAATAAATACAAAAGAGAAGACGTTTAAAAACTGGAGAAGGTATATGTTATAAAACAGAACACTATCCGTTTTGTAGAGTATTTTCATGAAAATACGCCCTTCGTTCTGATGATGTACTTAGTCCAGTGGTTCCTTTGGAAGATAAATTATTTTCCAAATGGATGGTTTTGTATTGTTAGCGAAATGTGCGTCTTTCAGTTCTGAAACACATCACCCACCTACTGGCAGGTCAAAAATTCTAACTACACGATTCTCCTGTAAAACAGGTGGACAGTAACTTTTTTCTGATGTCACTCCAAAAAACACTGTCCCTGGTAGCGCTCTTTCTAGGAGTGACACCGGATACATTGGGCTGAAGCACTACCATTTTGGACTTTGACTTTTTCAGATCTTATCAACTAAGTCGGGAATGGCATAGGGTTTGAGCCTACAAAGAACTGAACCTTCCAGCTACAATCCAGAAAAGCATTGAAGCAAGTGCTTAACTTTAAGTATGTGTGTTATCACATTGTTTTAAATAGAACTACTGGTGTGCTCAAAGTTACACCTCAGCTTAAGTGACTTGCTAGATCAGGGCCGGAGCCCTCAGCACCTCAGATCAAGCCTTTGGGTAGTATTTCAAGAGCAGATTTCCAAGGAAAATTCAGGCTTTGCCAGAAGGGGGTGTCAGCGACTCCGCATGTGGCACCCTTCCCTCTGAATAAATACTGAGCGGTCAGGAGCCAGCACGTTGTCAGAGGTCCCATCTTTCAAATGAGATTAGAACTGAAGACCTAATCACTTGTGTTTCTTTTTCTATGAATGATCTTAGTATCTTGTTCTAATTCCAGTTTGGATGATGAGATTCTGCCTTAAAAACTGAAGAATATAGTTTGTTTGTTTGCTTTTGTTTAACATGAATTTAAAAGTGAGTACTCTGAGCTGAGAACAAGAAGATAACAGTTGATATTGTGTTTTGAAAATGCAGATTTAGTAGTTACCATGGGCTGTACAAGAGCAGTGACAGATTAGCCACTAGGCCAATGGGGCCCATGCTCAGGGGCCCCGGCCAATTGGGGGCCCCTGGAAAAATGGGCATCCCCATTCCCTGACCCCCAGGTGCTCCTGCTGGGGAGCAGGGTCAGGGCGCAGGGACTTGCCCCACTCCTTTTGCCAGCCTGGTGCTCCTGCCGGGGAGTGGGGGAAGCCCCCGTGCCCCAATCCCACTCCCTGGCAGGAGCGCCGTGGGGGATGGGGGAGACTGCAGGTGGAAGGGGTGGGGAGGAGCCCCCACTTGCTCTGGCCCAGGGTCCCACAGAACCCTAATCCACTTCTGCCTGCCTGGGACTCTGAGAACATATCTGTGTTTCTGCACATGCGGAAGCCTATGCCACTGCATCTTCACTTTTGGGTTTCCTTATGAAAGAGAGACCATAAGGCTCAGAGATTCTTTTTCTTTTCTTTACAATATGTAAAAGTCAGATCTCTTTCAGTTATCACATCAGCAATGCCACAGCCTACATGGCTCATTCTGCTGCTTTCTCCTTTATCATAGTACGGCACTGGGCTGCCCTAAACTGGCACACAAACTGTATATTCCCTACATGGAAGTGGTGAATATTCATATTTCAGAGGCTTAGGGTCTGACTTTCAAACGTGCTGAGCACCCAGAGCTCCTACTGATTCCAGCTGCAGTTGCAAGTGCTCAGCGCTGCTGGAAGTCAGGCCCTCAGTGAATGCCCTCTACGCCCTGGTTTGTGACAAACTGCGAATTCAGGTCAGCTTGTAGCTTGTCTGGTTTCCTCCCATCTTTTTTCATACTGCCACCTATGCCTGGAATAACTTCTCTAATCTGTGCCAAACAACCTGCCTCTCCTCCTTCAAGCTCCTTTTGGCTTGCTTTCATTGCTTACCTCCACCTTTGCGCTCTCATTCATATTTGTCCCAAAATTGTAATATATTGTCTAACAAAAAAGGAACTAACAAGTGGTGTATGTAACTAGAATCTGATCTCAGAATCTTTCCCTACTGTGATCTTCACCCTCCCAAATCCCATTCTGCCTGTGTTTGTCATCTCTTGAGGTATTGTGCCTAATTTAGACTGTAAATTCCTCAGGGCAGGGATCTGTCTTTTATTTATTTTTAAAGAACAATGCACAGCTGTGCTGCTGTATAAAGAATGGGCCTATTCATCTGGATATCATTGCTAAAATAGAATACAATGATGGGGAGAAAAGAGGAGATACATGTGAACCACACAAAATAATACCAATACGAGGGAAGGATGGGAAGTATATAGGTAGTGCTGCTCACCTATTTTTAATGGTGCATCTGGTGCTGGTGTTGCATAGAGTAGATTCTCTGGCTTCAAATCACGGTGAACAATCCCATTTGCATGCAGGTACTAGAAGGGAAAAATCAAAGTGTCTAAGTCATTGTATGAAACAGCTTTTTCCTAATCCTCTATAGTTACAATCTAGTGACTATTATTTCATGACAAGGGATAACCCAATTAACCAGATTTCAAAAAATTGTTTACAAAACTTCGTAGCATGACACACTTGAATATAGTTTGTCATCTGAACAAGAAACTGAAAATTGAAAGAGAGCATCAGCTCTCATGATTGAGAAGAAAAACCATCCCTGAGGGGCTTATTGACCATTTAAAACACAATGGTAACATCTCTAGGGGTTAATGTTAAGGTAACAGATGCTGAGATTTTGAAATCTGAAGCATCAGAAAAGCATTAGGCAGCTTTGTATGTTAAATCATTCGGAGAGGTCAGAACATGGTCACCCAACTACTGAACCACACATAAACTTTGATGAGAACAAGCATAGTGGAGAACTTAGCATGTGTGCTGCTCTAAAAATAAAATCTTTACTTTCTACAGAAGACTGAAGGATTATAATACTGTGCAGTCCTGAAGCCTTGGTTTCACATGCCCATAGCTTTCTCAAAAGCTGTCATGGTTTTGGATTGAAAATGTCAAGGCTTCATCTTATCCCATTTTCCTGGGTGGAAAATTTAGGCAAAATCTGTTCAGCTCTTTTTCAGTTGTCCGAGTGTGAAATCATAGATCTCCTGCCACAAGTTAGAAACAAATTTTATTTCTATTGATGCAAAAAATAAAAATAAAAGTCTCTCTCTTCTTCAGCACAAAGACACTGGGCAGCCAGACTCACATCTTCAGGAAGGAGGCCACTAGTTTCCTCTCTACCAGAGCTACCTGCTCCAAGTAGCTTTGCTCTTTAAGGTTCTGCAGCACATGTAGTTGCCTTCCTTCCCTCCTTATGATCTGGGCCAACTGTCATATACAGATTGGGTTCCTGGTGTACAGCCAGTATACCCGGGGCCTTCTGAGCTTATGCCCTGATTGCAAAATCAGTCCCTTACTTGGTAAATACCCTGGGGCTGACTGTCCTCTTGTTTACACCATTTTTTTTTTTTTTAGTAGTGAAACTCCAGTAAATTCAACCAGGGCAAGTAAAAGGAGCATCGAAGCCCCAGTATTTTTAGTATGTTGTGCAATGGTTATTTGTACTTATAGGCTACTTGATAGTTACACTCAGGACTTGTCTACATGTGAGAATTGTACCAATTTAACTGACTTGGTTTTGAAACTGATTTCGTTAAATTGGTGCAGTCCCCTTACGTGGGCATTCATTTCAGTTTAAAGGTGCCTGATAGTGATTTGGCTTCAGTTGATTCCTCACTGATTTAGTTTAATCAGTACAATTTTTTTGTAGAAACAATGCCTTGGTACTGTAGGTCCAAAGTTAATTATCATGAAAGCTGTGCTTTGAATTAAAAGACAGAAACAATTATATACACATTGTAATTACCATGCACAGCAAATACCTTAGCTCTACCTTATATATACTAACTATGTCATTTAATGGTCACCAGTTACCATGAATATAAAAAGAGACCAGGAGGAGGAACATGGTCCAGTGGATAAGTCACAAGCCTGGTATGTTCCAGGCTCTCTCAGGGACTCACTCTGTGACCTCAGACTCTATGATTCACCTCAGTTTCCCCATCTCTAAAACAGGGATGATATTTGTGTAATAGGGTTTTAGGTCAGTGGATGAAAACGGCTGTGAGTATACAGTACTATATGATAGTTTATAATTACATTTGCACTCTATAATACAAAGAGATATTCAACTATTAACCAAGTAATCCTGCTTGCACTTTCTTTTAATTTTCAGTAAATGGTTCTAGAATGTAAAAGAAGGTTGCTCGTTGTTTGCAGCTTCATTAATCTGTGTTACCACCATAAACTGTTAAGTAGAAAATTTGTATTTACCTCACAGCATTGTATTTCCATAGCAACATTACTTTGATATATTCAGATTCAGTAAAGTCCTGTAGCATCTGTGTACTAAAGTACGTGATTTACTTGTCAAGTAATGGCAATTAGTCTCTTCAGAGGTGCATTACAATAAACAAGAACAGGATGAGTTACTAATTTAACAGTTGAAAAGGAGTAACACAAAAAGAACAATGCAAGATCATGAAAAGAGCATTATCTCAGTGAAAATGTCTTTCTGAGCATACATATGGATTTACACTGTATTGAAGTTATGCTGATAATCATTCTTACAAACTGCAGTCAGACAAAACTTAATCTACTAGCATTTAAGGTGAACGGGTAGAAGGGAATTTGAAATGAGTTCATGTTTGTGGTTTAAAAAACTCCCAAAGCACAAATGTGAGAGTGCAGATCAGGTATTTTGCACCCAGTTAACCCCTTTCATGAGCAAATGTGGGCTATGTGCAGAAACCAGTGGGCCTGGCACACTTTTGTAGGTTCGTTAAAAATTTGATCTTTAGGATATGTCTACACTGCAATTAAAAACTGGGGTGACCCATGCCAGCTGACTCAGCTAAGGGGGTGTTTAATTGCCATGCAGACATTCGGGCTTGGGTTGCAGCCCCGACTCCAAGACCCTGCAAGGTGGGAGGGTCCCAGACCTCCCTAGCCCAGAAGTCTATGCTACAATTAAACAGCCCTGCAGTCTGAGCCCCACAAGCCTGAGTTATCTGGCATGGCCAGCCGTGGGTGTCTAACTGCAGTGTAGACATAACTTGAGTGTTTCATTCAGAAACTTTTAGAACTGGGCAATCTGGAATCAGCACTGTTTGGGGAATACTACAGGGCATTGTCTAATTAAAGTTTTATTTTACTTGGTATAAAAATCTAAATACAAATTATTTACTGAGTATTTTTGTTTTGTCTAGTCATATCCAAACAACTCCCCGTTGCAGTGCTTGCAACTCCATGATGCATCATTGTTACAGTGACCAGATGAACAGACTTTCGGGAGGTGGGGGGGAAGCTGGGACACCTGACATGAGCAGGGAGGTGGGTGTGCAAGAGATGACTTTGCGGTGTTTCAAGGATTCATGCATAGTATGGTGAGAGAGAAGAATGAGCCCTCCCTAGCCCTTTTCTCAGTCAAGCAATCTTCCTCTTTCTCGCTACCCAATGGACTTGACTGAATAGGAGGTGATGGCTTGGCCTGATGAGATTTGTGTGAAAGAAAGGTCACTGGAAGGCCTCAGGGAAGAGGTGAAGTAAGATGTCAACATGAGTCAGACCTAGAGGTTCTTCATGGATGTGCTCAGTCAATTTCACCAGTTCAGGTGGCCAGTGACACTTTCAATGGGCCAGGGTTTGCAGGGGGTTACAACACTTGAAAAATGCACCATTTTAAAAACCAAACACCAAGACAGATCCTATAAATGGGGACATTCCTGCTTATTAGGAACACAGTCACCCAAATAGTGCACAAGAACCAGAAAGAAAAGCAAACAACCCCCCCCCCCCACACACACACAAACACAAAGAAATTGACTAGAAACAAAAGGGATTATTTTAATTGTCTAAGATAAAAATAATATATATGTGTGATGGAGTACATTACCAACCCCAAACTGAAAGGGTTAATGAGAATCTGTGGGCACAATCAGCCAAACCCCACTACACTGGTAGTCAGTGTTGAACCTGGAGAGAGGAAATCTGACTCAGTCTCCACACAGAATAAAGATCACACAGAGTTGTTTATTTTTGTAAAGCCGTTGGGCAGGGACTGTCTTCCTATGCCTGTACAATGCCCAGCACACCTAGGCACTACTGAATAAAAATATCATACTGATGATGATAAATAGTCTTTGCCCATTGGATGAACCCTGGGGGAGCAGAATCCTCTCCATTAGCAGGTGAAATAGCACCAGTGCAACTATTCAGTGGCCACCTCAATTGTCTGTCAGCTGTGGAAACATCAGTTGTAACCCACCTTTCCCTTCCAAATAAATGAATTTTAGCCATGAGTCTACATAGCTACAGACTCATTGGCTTTACTCTGTCTACTCTCCCAGCCCTGTCCTGCTCCCAGCTCCTATGTGCACTGCTACCGAATGTACAGCCTCAGAGAACTAATCTGTGGTGCACAGGGCAGTCTCTTGCATTGCCTCTTCAAAGTCTATCTACCCCACATTATAGAACTGCAGTGATTCTGCTGCACTGTGAGCCTTGTTCGCTAGCCCAAGTGGAGTAGGATTGACCCCACAGGGTGTTGAGCAAACTTCAGGTACACAGTAGGTTACAACAGTATCAGTTTTATATAATCTCAGAAGACCTGGGGTAAATGTATTTTAGGATTCAGAGTGTCAAATGGATTATTGTTGGTTGTTAAACTCTGATATGCTCAGCACTGTAGAAGACATAAATAAAGACAGACCCTTACCCTGTCTACTCTATAAAATACAGACAGGCTTTTTCCTAGTTTTTAATTAATGCAACACACAATACCAACTTATGACTGGCACATGCCCATGTTTCCCTAAAGGTGAGCTGCAAAGAAAAAAACATTGATCTACTGTCCCACTTCCCATTTTTTGCTTCTTTATGAGACCCGAAAGCTTCTTTTTTACCTCAAAAATTCAGGTCTCATCTAGCCTGAAAGATCTGATGAGTAGTGAAATTATGATGACATCACAAGAATCGTGAGTCTGAAAGATGAGGAATTGGTAAGGGCAAGGAAACTCTGGTTTTGCTTATTTGTATTGACACCTAATTCACTTTAATGTCTAACAAACATTGTGGAGAAAGAGTTTTGGTTGAACACCCTTCAGTTAAGGTGACAACTCCCAGTAGGCATTGATTTAGCTGTGGGAAGAAGTGGGTGACATTGGGCTTCAGTGTACGCTGTTATATTATGCTATGTGGTAATGCTTCAGAGTATTTTTATATAGAATATATATATATAGTCTTGTAATACCTGCCTGCCACTTTCGTGAGTATTTAATTCACTCGGAGTTTAAAAGGGAGAAGTTTTTATAGCCTCTCTTTCTGCTGTTTTGCTACAGAATATTTTTAGGACTTTCACATGGAA